GTTCTTGGTAAAAAGAAAATAAAACTGCAATAGTTATATGCTAAAGTATTTTCTATTCATTTCGAAAGTTTCACATATAAACGTTAAATGTTAACAACATAATAAACAATGATATATAGTCATTAGAATCTGAGTAGATGTCCGTACCACGGACTGTTGAGAGAAACAGATGTTTCGTAATAAATACACTTAATAATTTTCATTATAATGTCCATATATAAATGTAACAATATTTATAGACATATACATTACTGCAAATGATTCTATTCAAATATATGACTTATCCTAATAATTCTAGATATTGGTCTTTCTTGTATCTATCTCTCTTATCGTGCATCTCCGCGGCTTTCTCTCGTCCTAAACCTCATAAGTTCTTTATTTCCTATTCATTTTCCTTTATATCTTTATCATCTTCAACATCATCTATTTTATAATTTTCTACTTTCTTCGGAAACTTTTTTGTATTTCTCAATTTACTTTTTATCCTTTCCTTCATTGCTGTGAAAATATAAATATAAGATTATATAATACAAGTCAATAAAAATTCCACTTTCTATAACATAGTTATAATGTAAACACTAACTCTTTCTCTTTCTTTATAACTTCTAACTCTTCTTTAGTTTTTACTTCGTCGTCACTTTCATCAATTAAATGATCATGCGCTGATTTGTACCTATCACTAAACTTTTTATTTAATATCACAGTTTCTTCTTCATCCTCCTCTGCTTCTTCACCAAATGATAGAATATTGAAATCTCTGTAACAATATTTTTTATTACAAAGAACAATACTATCAGGGCTAAATTCTGCAAACATATATGATTTTTACTTTATTGCTGCTGTTTTAGTTTTTGAATTGTCCTTTGCTTCTTCACTTTCCTGTACTATTATCCTTGGTGTAATATCAGAAAATGGATTGTTCAATATCATAATTTTTATCAATCTTGGAGGATAAAATGGTCTAGCATTCTACAAAAAGGAGGTAATATTATATTTATATCAATTCTTGATGTATTTTCTTGTAAACATTAAATTTACCTCATCTACAAGTGCTTCTTCAAGTTCAAGCATGTTATATATAGTTTGTCCAGTACCCTTACAAAAGATTGTATGTTTATTATGCAATTCTAATGTGGAACCAACAGTAAATAAGAATTGGAAACCATTGTCATCTTCTCCAGCATAGCCACCAGCAATTAAACCTCGTCCACAGGAACGTAATCTTGTACGAAAATCGTCCTAAAACACATATATCTAATAATTATTCTTGAAGAAAAAACGAATTCATTTTACTTTTAAATATGGTCTCACTTTAAATGGCTCTCCATATATTTTACAACTTTCTCCTGTATCTGTAGGATCACCACCTTGTGTATGAAATATATTGTTATCCCAATAACCTTCCATACATAATTGTATGAAATTTCTACATGTCTTCGGAGTTTCTTTGACCCATAATTCTGCCTCAATATCACCAACAGTTGTTTTCATTACAACCTAGTTATAACAAATATATTAGTTTTATTCATGTACAATGTTTTTAAAATCAAATTTATTAAAATTTATTATTTATTATTGCAATTCAAATTAGAAATTATTTAATATATTAATATAGAAATTTAGAAAGTAAATATTGTATATCGGTTAAATTTTTAAAAACAGATATACAATCTATTGAAACATTATTAACTAATACTTACTACTTTACCCTTAGTGACTGGCTCTTACATATAAATATTACTCATGTTTGTAAGTTTCCTATAATAAAAAAAAATCCATCGTCAATATTTCATATTAAATTTTTAGTCATTTATAAATCAGTCAACCAAATGGTTCTTTTCTCAAATAACCATCAACAGATAAGACATACCTTTATGTCCTTTTAACATTAGCTTCACTGGCCCAATCAATTCCATGTGCCACAGCCCCAGTATTCTTGTTGCTTTTACTTTTTCCATGTTCCTATAGATATTTCTACACATTTGTGCCTTAATGCAATATTTATATTAACTCTATATTCAATTTATCCTTAAATTTTATAACTATTACCATTTGTTCATTCTCCATCTCTTCAATGATCCTCATATTTGCATGACCCAATCATCGATGTCGCACATCTTTCTATGTTCATAGATATGCTGCCCCTTTTCTGTTTCTTGATTTTACATATGTATTTCCTGTTCTCACTGCTTCCACTTGAACTTTTCCCCTTTCTTTATACAATTTAGCGCCAACTTTCTGAAACTTAACACATTAGCGTTCGTCAGTGGCTTTGTCCACTGATATCAATATTTATTCGGATCAGGATCACAACGTACCTTTCACCATATCATGTTGATACAAGATAACATCATGCAATTTAGTTTTAATCCCTTTTTATCTGCCACATCCACCTTCTTTTTCTCAATCTTCATTTCTCCATCAAATATGTCTATCCTGTATGTTATAAGGCCAGCCAACCTAAAATCAAATGGACATATCAAACCTTACATACTTGCATTACTGTTTTAATATTTTCTTCGCATAAAAAATAATTTGGCACCTAGTGACTCTATGCTGATGATATTCCATGAGTCCAATATTTTTTTCCTGTTGCACGTGTCCATTCACTTCAACAGGATATTGTCATTTTACAATCAGGCTCTGCTATCACTAATAAAAGATAGAAAAACAATGGCTTATATATTACACTGTTTAATTACAACTTAAGGTTATGTTAATACAAAAACTTACATTCTTTTGCTTGATGCAGGCATACCTCCATGGACGCAACAATGTTTCTTGCGTTTTCTTGCAATTCTTTTCCTATTTTCTATGCACTCTCCTGTTCTCTTGGAGAAAAATTAACAAATTAGTCAATTTCGGTGAATAATACAGGAGCTTTTACCATTGTATTGACATACGTACCATTGCAGATTTCTCGTCTGCCAGGTAGAGAAGAGAATGCTGACTGTCCAATTAAAACCATTCCGTGGGCTGAACTTATTAAAGAATGTAAAAAACTTTATGGCGTTGTTAAGTGAATAAAAACAAGGAAAGAGAACGTGCATTATTTATTTATGTCGTTTTATTCTTTTCTTTGGTCCGCCATCACGATATGTGGTTTAAGCGTTCTCCTGGCGCCATCTGTGCTCGTCTTACGGAACCTGAGGTTTCTAATAAATCAATTCGGCCACGGAAATTTAACAAATTACACAATTTCTGTGAATAATTTATGAACTTTTATAATCTCACCGTAAAGCCAGATCCTTGGCGAACTTTCACATATACTTTTCGATATTAACTTCTTCTTAATTAATTGATTATTAATTACTATTTCACGGCGTGTTCGAAATATTGCCGAATATATCAATGGTTTCTCATTAATAACTTTCTTTCAAGAAATTAATTTCTGACTTTTATGCATTCATTATAAAAAGAATATTCTTGCGCATCTTCTCATATAACTTTCGATCATATTTTTCTTCTAATTTTTAATACAATTAAATAATTTGACCGACCATCATGTTCGGCGTTGTTTTCAAATTACCCACGCCGCCAAATAATTATTAATAACATTTAAATCAGCAACAAATTATGTACAAAAGTAGAATGAGAATGTTGCTCAGAGTTTCAGCTTTTCGACAAGGTTATAAAAGTTCATAAATTATTAGCCGGAATTGAGTAATTAGTTAATTTTCTCTGCCGGAGCCTTTCTGTCTTTTTCTACCCGCCTTCCGTCCTTATCTAACCACGTGACCAGGTATAGACGACCTCCTTGCGCATTCTATATTCCTATCACTTTCCTGATCATTTGGTCCAAAATCATAGATGGCGCTGATCGAAGTTACAGAATTGAAAACCACGTGACGCGTAGGGCGGGAGAAACGAAACAGTAAAATGACATAAATAAATAATTTATAAACTTTTTATAAATTATAGGTATATTTTAACGTAAAAGCGTTATAAGTTCAAGTAATAACCAGTAATTTGTTAATTTTTTAACTTTTATTATAAACTTACGTTGTGAACAATTTGATATTAACAATATTAATTTGTTATTAATATTAAATTTGATAGTTATTTGTTTTTATAAATTATAATTGCGTTCGCGTTTCCATGGGCTAAATTTCCATGATACCTATATGTATGATAAAATATTTGTATTTCCTCTGTACTTTTAGTCGAATTGAAGTAATATACAAAAAGTGCAAATATTAAAATATTTATGCATAGAGGTCGTCTAAAGCGACATATATATGAATACAGAAGGTGATTAGAGAATTAAAAAATTACTCAATTTCTGTGAATAATTTATGAAGTTTTATAGCTTTATCGCAAAGCTTAAGCTTTAAGCAACATTCTTATCCAATTTTTGACAACAATTTGATGCTAATTAATTTGTTATTAACAATTATTTGACGGCGTACGTGATTTAGTTACAACGACCGGAATGTTTGTCGGAAAAAATATTTTATTGTGAACTTAACGAGAAATAAAATTTGGTCATAAATAATATGGGAACATGCCCAAGGGTAAAATTCTTAAAATGCGTGCATGCATTTTATAAATTAATTACATAAGAGACAGTTATTAAGATAAACCATTACAATCTTCGGAAACAGTTCGAAAACTCCGCGTAAGAATCACTAATAATCAATTAATTACTAAGAAATTAATTTCTAAAATGATATTATGATTATGCTATTATAAATGTTCATAAATTAATTACAGAATGTATATAATTTAATTATTTTCTTTTTGAAGTCAATTTATCAGGTCATATTAGAAGCACATAATTCGAGTTCATAAATCATCTTTCTGTATCCTTTTCTATGAATAATGCCAGCTGTTGATACCTCGCTGATTCCTTTAATAAAACAATCAAGGATAAAAGTTCACAGAATGATTCGTTTTCAGGAATGTGAACTCTACAAGAATCACCTAATGGATATTACGGATCAAAATTCGTGTCGAACAGTGTAATTATAATTAATTTTAGAACAGGTAGAGTGACTTACTTTTGAAGAGGAATAAGCAATTCCCATGCAGTTCACTGCCTCGCAAGTATAAATGCCAAGGGAAGTTGGGTCATCGGGGTTGGCAGTTAAAGCGAAGACATCACCAGCCTTGATTTCTTTGTCGTCCTTGAACCATCTCAACACCGGAGTAGGCACACCAACAACTTTGCACTCCAACGACACTGTACCTGTCTCTGTGAGAAGAGCTCTTAGCTCCTCCACGAATTCTGGTCTCTTATAAGCTTTCGGAACTGTAAAACAATTTCAAAAAAAAAAAAAAAAAAAAAGAACGACAGAACAGTTAGAAAGAAGTATATTGGTCATCGATTAATCTAAATATCTGTTTAAGATTTAGCAACAAATTACTCCAAATTTGTATTCTTTGATGGTACAACTAATCGTAAGATTACTTAAAAGACATTCTATTAAACTTTGTATATTCAAATCTTTAGATATACAATTATTGACCAGAGTCAATGAAAATGAATAGAAATAATTATATGTATTTCTGTCTCGATAAAAGTCAACGTTTATCCTGTCGAAAGAAAGTGAAAGGTGGAACTTATTTAACATTAAACTTACCCTGGCATGTTAACAGACCTCTAGATGGAATAATAAAAGGAAAACTTAAAAGAGTAAGAGAAAATATCGAATAATTCGTAGTACATATATTAAAGAAACAATAGAAATTATAATAAAAAATTAAAAAATGGTAACTCCGGTATAGTGTCATCTAGTCTGATAATTGTAGCATTAGAAGAAAAATCTGACAAGCATTCAAAGTTAGGGTCACTACAGGAATTTGCCAACTTCTTTGCCCACGATTCGCTATTCCTCCATCCGAATCCTAAAACGCTATAAACGTTCGGCTCGTGTCTATTTCTGACTATAAGGGACTGCAATAGTGAGCTGCCACTACTCGAGTTCTGTAAACCCATGCTACCCTCGTGATTTCGCGGATTTGGTCGAAAATGAGTGTCCTTACCGATCACAGTGAGCCGAGACGTGCAGGATGATCGTCCACCACGATTCTCTGCCATGCAGGTCCAATGTCCTTCGTCCTCGACCGTGACAGGTGCCACATCGACGCAGTAGAAGTTCCCCTCGTGGACGAAAGAGAAACGCGAACCCGCGTGGACCGGCTCAGCATTTCTGTGCCAAGTGATCTGGAATTCAACAACGACGCGTTGAGAGATTTAAGCAGCGACGAGCCCGCTGACGTCAGCGACCTGTCAAACACCACACGCGTTCGTGGAAAATGAACGACAGGTAGACGAGTTACGCATGTACTCTACTCGAACGTTTGATATGAAATAAGGTTCGATATCGCGGTGGTTGAGAGACGTATCGATGATGACTCTGAGTAATTGGTTCTTCGATCTTGCAATCGAGGTATGCCAAGATTGCTGTTTCATATTGGAATTGGAAGTATTTTAATTTGTGTTTGTACGTAATAGAACGCGTAATTGAATGAGTAATTGTACATGTGCAGAGATATAGGGGTTGGAAAGAGATCAAGTGATAAACTCGGGATGATAGGAGTATGATTATAAATTGAATTTTGAATTAACATTGCATCGTGTTAAAATACAGATTGAAACTGTGATTTGGTATTGAAATAATACGACAATTTTGAGTAATACGAGCTGATAAGATGACGTATGATTTTAGAATAAAGGAATTTAGTTGAAACGTGATACGGATGACTTTGAGGTATACTTATATTATTCTTCGTACCAGGAATTTAGAGCAATGAGATTTCGATTTTAGGAACAACAGGATTTTAAAAGTGAAGTTCGAATTGCAAAGGGGTTGAATATAGAAGTCACGCTGCTCCTGCAGACGGGACAGAGGAACTATAGACATAGAGGATTCCAAGCATTCCAAAGACTTTGATTGTTTGGAGGACTCGAAGATACGAAGTCTTCGAAGACGTTTCGAATAATGCATAAATAATTACAAACTATAAAATCTCTGATATTCTCACCCCTATTGCTACTGCCAGCACTAATATTAACATTCCTTTCATTCAATCCTTTTCCTTTTTCCTCCATCTTCTTACAACCCAAATGTCTACGTCAGAATAATTATTATATTTCTGACAAACATACTCTATCTTTAACACTACCTACAGACAATACCCGTGAATACCAAAATCCAGAAATATCCGAGACCATCCGAAAAGCGATTTCAGCGATGTTCTTACACGCGAGACAAGAAATTCCAACGTTCCTTCGAATCTCTCGGATTCTCTACCCTCGAGCGTTACGCAATCCGGTCAGAGAGCACCGCGGCGGAAAACGAACATTTGAAATTTTACGGGCTCGAGCAGCAGCGGCAGAAAGCACGCAGATTTAGCCGATCGGCGGGCATAGTTTCAGGCCATAGTATACGCGCGCGCGTAATAATAGTCGTAATACGACGCACAAGACAGCGTAACGATCTTCGTTTTCTGCTCTTCCGTCTCTGAATCCCGGGTCATGGACCTCGCTGGCTCCCTTTTAGCGCGCGTTTCCCGCTTCGTCTGCCGTCGCGGGTATAGAACAACCAACAGAAACCCGTCGCAATAAGTCACCGGGTGATTTCGACTCACCCTTCCGGGTTAATCACCGACGTTGGCACGGATTCCTCGTTGTCTTACCCCGGCCTACCAATTTTGGAACGTACGGGGCTCGTGCTTTCTTCCAATTCTGATCGATCGGTCGATTTTTCGCGTTCGACCAGGTGCTTTGAAAATCACTTCGAAAGGTGTCACTGTCGCGTGAATTACTTTACTGCGGACGCGAAAAGAACTGAGTTACTTTTACGCGGAGGTAATTATTCGAGATCGTGACTTAATCTTTTAGGCCTCATGAAGCGATGGGTTTTCTTCTGTTTGATTACTTTGGGCTATTTTAATTTTTATGCCGAATATTAACCGTTCCAAAGCCTAGTAGAATGATCTAGTTATTCAGCTTTTGCGTCGAAGAAAGGTGCGATCTCAGACTTGGTGGTATTTAAAATAAATGAAAATTGTTTAATAAAGAGACAAAGTAAAATGAAATATATAATTAATGTTGAATTAAATTGTGAATCGGAGAATGAAATTTTGTTTAATCTAAACAGACACGATCTCGTCGTTTGGTACATTGCGATAACTTTTCCAATGACACCTGGCATTCAGTCGGTTAAAGGTAGGGCGTGTTTAAACGAATTAGTCGTTGAGTGATTAAGTAGGTTATAATTGCATAGGCAATTACCTTCGGTGTGGTCGAACTTCGAATTTCCACGAGGAATCTAGTCCTGGTGCCAACCTTAACTGCGAGGTCCGTCAATCTTCGTAGGAAAATCGGTGGATCACCCTCTTCTGAGATCGTTTCGTCTACGCTGAGGTGAATTCTCTTTGAAGATCCTTTGTCGAATCCTTGACCTACTCTCGTTGCCACGAGAGCATAATGTCCCGTGTCGTCCTTCTGCGATTGTTTCAGAGTCAACTGGACAACGTTGCCTCTCATTTGTACCCGGTATCGGTCGGACGGTATCGGTACATCTCCGCGTATTCTGCGATAGAATTGATTAAAAAAGAAAAATTTTATCGTGACTTTTACGCGTACCGACTTATTTCTTAATAACACCGTTTTAGTACTTGAGATGTACTAATATACAATCCAGCAATTTAAACTTAAAATATGATTATAGCGCTACATTTGGTGACACTGTAAGTACCTATTTATACGTTAATATAAACACCAATTTCGTTCATACAATCAATTACTTGCTACCCATGAATGATAGGAATAAATTCATATTGATAAAAGAAATTTCTTCATTTCGACTAAATTTAAATCACCAAAAGGTTCGAGGATGAAAAATTCTTGAGACACACGTGTCTACTTTGCATATTCATAAGATTAAACCCAACTCTTATCTCTTTTTTCCACCGATATTCTAATCATTCACAAAATCACGAAAGACAGGTACCTCGCGGATAACGCCAGTGAGTTACGGTTTCTCGGTATACGTGGGCGCTCTATAAATACCTTTGGAACGAATAGCGTACTTTGAAACAACAGCTTAAAGGAAACGAATTCACACCGTATACGAAACTTCAATTCGATAATCTCACACTGTCCTCGTCGACTTTCAACCCTCGCGTAACCTCGGCTGCGACAAGACACACTCTCGTCTCGAGCCTCAAGCGAACACGAGTCGTGTGGCCGAAGACAAATTCGTGGATTAAAAACACAAACGAGCTGATTGCCAGCGAGAAAGCGAAGAGGAACACTTTCTAACGAAACGAGGTCGGTTTTGCAATACTCAAATGCCAGTTTCTGCCTCTCGTCGGGGCGATGGCCGATGTCCAATCGGACCGACGATCATCGTCGTGCCGTCTATCTGCTATTTCTTCACAGTGGCAGACAGTGGAAGAGGTTCGACGGCGAATTTGGCGGGCTGAATTCGTCGGTGGTGGAAAATCGAGACTTCCTTTGCGCAACGTGCAGCAGAGAAACGCACCCTCGGCGACCTCGTCGTGCATAGGCGCCATCATCGACGACGTCCGCGCCGGTGACGCAATGTCTATTTTGTCTAGCCGACAAACGAATTCTGCATTCCGTGATCGAGATCGATCTTATCGCCGTTTGTACGGAAACAAATAGAACCAGAAACTGATTCTTGAGGCAAAATAATTTTATTGTAGAATGATCGGTGGACGAGTAATAATATCGTGGATGATCGGGGAATTTTATGCAGTCTAACGATTGTCTGTCTATTTAACTTTCGGATTCAATTTTATACTCGTGTGTCACGATTTGGAAAATTCTAGTTTATTTATTAACTCAGTTTACGTACTGTACGAGAATGAAATTTACGAATAATCTAAATTCCAAGTCTTAAAAATAAAACTATATTTATCTTTATCGTTTATCTTTTCGTTGTTTATAAAATTATTTAAATAACTCCCAGCTGAATGAATTTATATAAGTAACAGAAATATTATTTACATTCATTCTTACATAATTAGTAGCTCTTTTAAAATCTATTACAACGTCAACCATGAATCTTCGAGGGCAATTATAAAAATAACTCGAATGTCACTAGCGTGCATCTTCCCTTTACGAAGTCGGATAATTTTGTAACTGAATGAAATGGTCACGTCATTGTTTCCGTATCATTAACGATGATATATCAGCCATTGTTCTCCCGGAATATCTTCGATCCGGTAAGACTGACAAATCTATAGGGATGGTAAAATGGAAACGAGAGTAAGGAAAGAAGAGTTCAAGAGGGAGAAGAAGCGGGAAAGTCTGGTTCCCAATGAATTGAACGCGGTTGCACCACTGATCTTTTGCTCCGCGGTATTTCTAGATCGTTACGAGATATCTCAGTGATCCGAACACCGTGCATGGCCTCCGAAAAATTCGATCAATACGCGCGTTTCCCGCGATCCAGTGGCCATCGAATGACAGGTCCTCGTCGGCGTGCTCGCGCGTTCAAGCAAAAAGGCGACGAAAATAGGGCAGTAGAGCAATGCCAAGAGTTTGAGGCGCTCTAGATCATTTGTTTGCCCGAAATACGTTGGAAGCGTGTAACTGATTTTTATTTAGATACCATTAGACCATCGACGCGTATGAATTTCGCGCCGCGAGTGAGCGAAATTCAATGGTGCACGACGTGTCCTGCGAATACGATTATTTCGTCCAACTAATTATTCAGGAGAATATTCGAAGAACGTCGAGTCTTCTGACTATACCGATGTTTATAAGAATAGAATATTGTAGAACATAATGAAAACTTGATTTGTATTTAAGTCATTCGCCAGGTTTGACAAATTGAACTCGGCGCGCAATGCACTGTCTGTTCCAAGCTGTCTGCCGCGCAAAAATATACCCCAACATCTACGATATATATGATACTTTAAAAATACACGTGCAACTTAAATTTCTTACAAAATAAATATCGTAGTGATTCCCGGAATGATCATAAAATATTACAATCGTCAATTTTCTTCAAACTATGCTACGCAAGTAAAATTCTTTCTTCTCGTGACATTCAGTCACAATTCCACTATCATTTTTCAATAATCATAGACTGCTGAACAACCTGATTACATCACACCAGCTTCCGTTAATATTAGCGGACATGCAACCTTGTTTTCTTGTTTGAAAACTGAAGATCGTACCGGTATCCAGGGCGATCCCTGAAGGAGCCCGTAATGGCAGGTTTGTTGCCGTTGGCGCACTTGCAGCAGTCGCTCCCCATGTCACCAACTCGATCGACACTTTATCCTTCAGGAATCGAGGACCAGCACTCTTGCGAGACAACAGTCACCACCGATCACTCGCGAGTTCGTCGAACCAAGCGTCCCATAGGAGTCGCGAAAGTCCCATACCGGCCAAGGGGTTCGAACAAGGGACGAAGAGGCGGATGGAATCCAAGTCGATGCATCGATCCTTTCGAGTCCTCCGTTCGCTTACTCCTCGCATTGATTCTTATCGTGATCGATACTTATTCGATCGGAGAATCAGTTGTCCCGTCACGCGTTGGCATATGGCCGTCGCGTTATTTATCGTCGAGCGATATCGGTGGTACGACACACGGTGACAGGGGTGCAAAAATAAACCTGAGAAGCGTCCTTTCGTGCCTCGCGACCCTGACACGTCTGTTCGATGACTGCACTTCGACTATCGGTACAGCGACGATACCGATCGTCATCCTATCGGTCGCTTCCGATGATCCACTCTAACTGCAACTCGATCCTTATCACTTGGTCCAGCCAATCGTAACGTTATCACTTGATTCTTCTACGTTTACGAACCGATTACTCCTCGTGTCTCTGGTCCGATAGCACCGAAACTCATTCGCGCGAACGTTATTCGAAGTTTGATTGAAGAAAAATAGAGAAAATTGAAAATTAGGGGAAAAGGTACTCGAGGTTGTTCGAACTCTCTCAGAGGGGGAGTAGCGTCCGATCGTCGAGCGATCAGTCAGCCGTGTCGATGCTGGTAGTTTCTTTAGACCTCTCCGTTCTAATTAGCGGTCGATGCGTGTGTTGGTGAAACGAATTTGAAGAACGTGAGTGGGAGAGAGAGGTCTGCGGTGATTTTTGGCCGCTCGTCGATCGTCGCGACGCTCCCTCGGAAGACTGATAGCGAGATGCCAGCGCCGGATCGTCCGCGCTCGATTTTCCACCTCCACATCCGCCACCTTCCGCTATAGTTCGAAGGAAACTATAAGCAACGAGAAGCGTGCCGCATCCTAGAGTCGAAATGAACGCCTAAAGAGCAGCGCCACGTTCGTCTTTTCGCGAAAATTTCGGGCTCGGTCGAATTTAGCCTGCATAGGGGGCAGGAACGAGAGACGGGCGCGAGAAGAACGTCAAAGCGTGTCGGAATTTTCGTAACCAGCGAGAGAACGCTTCCGTCGTCGGGGTGACGTAGCGACTGAATGGTCAGAGAGACGGTTGTCGGCCAAGTGATCGACGAAAGTGACGATCATCGGATTGATCGTCCGAATAGATGTCATTGCTTTGCTTCCTTGCCTCTGTTTCGATCCATCCTATGCTTTTGTTGATATTTCGACATTGGATAAACAGAAGATCGATATTAGATCCCAAAATGATCGATCATTCAAGTAGACGTCATTGCTTCGTTTCTTCCTCACTGTATTGCTGTATGGATATGTTTCTGGTGGCATTTTAATATCGAAAGAACAGAAGAAAGATATTAAATTTCGAAACAATAACTGATGATCCAAGTAAATGTCATTGTTTTGGTTCTTTGCTGCTATTTGGCGGTATATGTATTGGTATTTTGATATTTTGATATTGTAAGAGAAGAAAAGCGATATTGGACCTCGAAATGATTTGGGAAAATAGATAAAATTCGTTTGGAAGATATAGATACACTATGGACACCCCTATAATGTGACGAAAAAATTGCTGCAATTACTTTCCACAAGGCGATAAACAGTCCTGCGTGACGTGCAAGGTGAATTTAACATTGTAATATATTTTTCGTGTTTTTGTTTAGTAATTATGTTACTGGTTAACCACGGATAAATCGTGACAACTATAGGACCACGCGATCAGCACTAGAGTTCAGAGATGTGGTTAAAATTGCATAAATTCGTTGCACGAGAGTTAACTGTAATTTATCTTCTTGTTTTTGTAGCAAGATCGCCGAGTACATGTGTTGAGAATTGTTCTGTTCCGTTCCGTCATTTTCTAAATTACGTTACAGAGAAGTACAAGTATAAGAGTCGGAGAGTGGATTTCTTTGGCTCGTTTTCGAGATGGTTATGTGTACATTCTTTCTGTCGCATCCCGTAACAACTCGAATTTTACCCTTTTATCTTTTACAAGATGAAAATTATCCCGCATCGTGGACAAAGTTTCCCCTCGAAGTCACGATTTAGTGGAAGAATTCCGACGATCTTGACAAGGTTGTAGCACTAGACGATGGATTTTACGAGGTACGATTATTTTAAGTTACATTATTTCGACATTGTACATGAACGGTAATCGTACGTCGTAACTTTTCTTCGACGAAATGTCTCAACAGATGTACTCGAGGGAAGAGGTCGGTGAGCACAGGTGAAGTGACTCAGAAGATGAATCGTCTGAAAAAGACAACAATTACTACCATCGATCCGTCACCCCTCTTGTCTTATTTAAACCACGAGGCTAGATGAGGTCACGTTTTGCGTTCCCGAAATAAGCGTTCAATGGTTATGCACCAAATCTTTCACCTTCCTAGACGACTTGTTACGCTACCAATCTTTAGCGATCGCTATGAAAACTACCCTGAATTTTCGAGATTTAACAACGTTCATGCTTTCACTGAGTGCCGTCGCATTGATTGTCAGTGACAACACGATTACTTTACTATAATATGATAGCGAGTCATATATGTACTCAGTTATATATACGACGTTCCTAAACTTCGTGCTACGCAATTAGCGATTTTTCTACTTAAACGAGCTTTACCAAGTTTACGGTAATAGTTCCAATAGTTAGGAAGAATATATTAATCTTCCCGATTTCATAGGGAAGATCGTCGAAGAACGATTTACGATTGGTCACGTCCCTGGCATTGGAAATTTTACCGCGAGCATTATATGCAAAAAGTCGCATAACGAAATTACACGAGACGGCGGTGTAATTTGGTCCTCTACGAAAATTAAGTGCGCGACAGCTCGAAATAAACTGCGTTTGATCCTTGGCACGTTTCAAGGTTTCCACCCGAAATTAGGGCCAATAGTCGAGAATGAACGATAACGCGTAAACGACAGTGCTCGATCATTGTACTAGAAACAATGTCGGAGGTCGTGAACTTTCGAGTCGTCACCACTTCCGCCTCCGTCCGTGTTTCGGACTTTCGATCTCAACACCGATCTCTTCGATTTCCATTTCCACGCTATAATTATCCTCCTTATATAATTGTCATCATACTTGCGTGCGAACGAAACGGTAAGTGGAAATTCGCTAAAAAACGAGAAATAAATAAATTAAATGAACGAACGAGTAGAAATCGAGTATAACATTTTCGATGATATTATCGGACAGATCGTATAACGATATTCGCGACGATCATAACGAAGCAAAGACGCTCGGTTATTACTAAACTACCGAAATCGTTACAAGGTTAGAGGAACCTTATAATTAGAATGTCTAAGTTATAAGGTTGAGATGGAAAAAATCGTTGCAAAGAGATCGATGGAAACGACGAAGACTTACAATTCGAATCGTAGCTCGTCGAAAACGTCGGACCACCGTAATTTCGGTTCGAAGACGATGTCCTCACCAACGCGACCCTGGACCGGAAGGACCTGGTCCGGCTCCAGCCATCGCGGCGGTCCCTTGGCTTTCGTCGTGTGATCTGCAAGGAATTGCATAATAAAATGGGTCATTACTAATACGACTATGAAAATACGCTTTGAACGCGTGACAACGTCGAAGTTAGTCGTGTTCCAATCAAGAGCAACGAGTCGCGAGTATGATCGTAGGCGAAAATTTATTATTCGCGGACGCTACCTGGTATTTCGGCGCTCACGTGGTCCTCCAAAATGGCTACAGAAACGGCAGTGTGCGAAAACCGCGGGCATAAATATAGATACCTGAGCGGAGAAAGCAATGGCCAAGATGGAAACCGTTCGGGAAAATAAAATCTGCAAGCAATCCGCGAACGTTACCACGCCGAATTTATTTCGATAGACGTAGTAAATTTCGCGGGCTTCGATCGGACGGGAATCTTGGACGCGCGTGTATTCTCTGTCGAAACCGGTATTACGGGTAAATAAATACGTTAAAAAATAAACATGGCCGCATCTACAACGAACACGGACACTCGGTTCCGTTTCCCGGACCCGACACTCGCTACGTTATTTCTTTTCTCAGCTATATCTCCTTTCGTCATTCCGAGTCCGCGATTAAAGCTCGTTTTTACTCTTATTTTTAACGCAGATTCTTTTCTCATAAACCGCGTGTTATTACCGGTCTCAGGAGTTTACGGCGTAAATCCCGCCTGCCGTCAGCTTCTGCTGAGACCACCGGCCGCTTTGCAGATTTTTATGTAACGACGATCGCGAAACTGCCTGTAACGACGTTAAACACGGTTACATGGACGAGGGACCTCCACCTGGCAGCGAAGAAAGATTCAACGACCAGTGATCTAAACAAGTTTCGTCACTAGACGTCATCGATCGAAGAGGATGCACGTTCTCACAAAGAAGAAACGGAAGTTCCTCGCGTCGCTGTTGATGCTTCAACACATCCAGGGTTTTCTATCCCGTTTGAGAAACCTGGCAAACCTTCGACAACCTTAAATCCCATTTCCACACGTTTTTCCACACTCGGTCTGCGTCGTAGGCTCGAATTTTCGATCTTCGAGAAGAAACGTAACGACGAAACGAGACGAGACGAGACGAAACGAGGCGAGACGAGACTCTAACCGCAGAGCTCTTACCTGTTAAGGTCATCTCGTCAGACGATACGAAAACCGATTCCTCCTCGCATTGACATCACTCGCGAAGAGAGCACGCAGCCTGTCGCGTTCGATCCGACCAAGAGGCAACCTGCACGTCCTTCCGGTCGCGGCCTCCGGCGCCTCGACCGCCAAAGCTTCCGTTCCTCCCTCCGGCGACCTCTTCTTCACTCTGCTGACCCGTGGCACAGCACACCCTGCGCCACGAAATCTGACGGCAGGAGGCCCTGCTCCGGTCTAAAATCGTCTCGACACGCCACTCTCGGCTTCGTCGTTTTAACGAAACGCGCACATGCGCCGTGTGTCGCGTTCGGCCCCTACGCCTCTCTTTCTTCCTTTCTCCCCTTTCCATCGGCACGTCCCTCCCGTCCCTCCCACTTTCTTTGGCCCGCTATCTATCCCTGATGTAACCCGGCGCATCGCTGTTTTTTATCTTCGAATAACTTCTTGGTCTCTCGGTGCTTCTACACCTTTCCTACTCTCTCTCTTGCTCTCTCCGACTTCGTGCTCCTTTTCGTCGTTTTGCTTCTCGTTTTGGATGATCTGCCGGGAAAGTGCGCGTCCAATGGCTTCCTGCAACGACGTGGGTGTGGAATTGGGATGACAGGAATTTTGGAAGACCGCTTGATCACGACCAAGTGTCCTTTTCTTGAATTCGAAGTTGCTCGTCGTTTGCTTTACTATTGATCTGTAATGTAGTTTGATGCATCGCTGTTTTTTATTTCTGATTAAATTCTTGAACTCTCGGTACTTCTAAACCTTTCTTTCTCTCTCTTCGCAGTCCTCTTCGTCATTTTGCTTCTCGTTTCAGATGATCCGCCAGAGAAAGCTCGAGTCCGATGGCTTCCTGTAACGTCGTAGCTGTGGAATTGGGATGACGAGAATTTTTATGTCAATCGAGTTCACGAGATATCCTTTCGGCATATTCGAAGTAGATGGTCGTAGAACATGCTTGAACTACGAGGAGAATGATTGACGTTTTCCAAGTTGGTATTGGGATTAGGTGGGTTAATGATGAGATACAATGTTGATGCGAGATGTTTGACTAACGGAAAGAGAACAGTGATTGACAGGTTACATCGTTGCAACGAGATGACGAGGAATTTTAGAATTTCTTTTTGGCAATTTGGCGAGAAGTTTGAGCAAGGTTGGGTTTCGGTGCGAATAATAGATACGTGTAGTTCCGTTATCGTGGTTATGATTTTAGGCTTGCTTTTGTGCTAAGTGGAGCGTCAGACTTAAATAAGGAACGGCAGATTCTTGGCCAGCAGCAACGTAATTGTCGTGGTCATGATTCGATGAGGAGCTTTCTGCTGGGATAGGACGTCAAGCTTAGAGAGTGTACGCACTCTTCTTGGCTAGAGATCGAAGTTTTTAATTGTTGCTCATATTTCGGGGAAATTTATTAATCTCCCTCGACGTTTTTTGCATGCGTGATGTGACTATTAACGCGACATTAATTTATAATATTTCATTTTATTAAGAAGACAATTAGATGAAAGGAAAGAATCGATTTTAAATTCAACAGTTATGTACATATTTATTGCGAGTAAGAATATCCATAATAAATAGGAATAAATAATAGTATCGGTAATAATAATAGTAATAATAATAATAATTTATAATAGTATGCCGTTGTCGTTAAATATACTCTCTTAAAACATATACTATCATCTTTGGTACTCGTTTGGTGTAATTCCTCAATGAAATACAACAATTGGCTTCCCGTGCAACCGCTATCAATCGATGGATCGTTGCACTTGACAGATTGCCACGATGCATCTCGGAGTCTACAACCCTAAAGGTCGAGAATCGGCACGCTGCAATGCCTCAGCATCGAAGGTCAGGAATTTGTTCTTTGAATAATCATCATCATTTGGTCTACGTTCGCTTCTCCGTGGCGATTTCCAATGCCGAAGATCGAGAATCTCTCTTTGGTCGTCTTGTTCTTCCGCGTGTGTGACAATTTTCTTTTGCAATGAGTGTGTGTTCTTTTACAACCATATTCGAATTCAGAAATACCGTCTTACAATTAGTTAGAGTGTATAGAACATTCCTATCGCAAATTTTGTCATTGCTTCCTTTTCCACCACCAGCCTTCGGAGACTCTATCTTTGATTTCATATTGGATCCTTCTATACAGCAGTAATGCGATGAAGGGAATTGCCATGATCTCTTTCTTGAACAGGTAGATGTAGACTGCCGCCATTAATAGAGTTAGGTCAGTGACGTATCCCATCGTAGACCTGACATTTTGTTTAGCCTCTATGGCCAGTTGTTTTTCGTTCAATCGACTCTCTCGCCAGGCTTTCTCGGGATAATCCCTTCGTGGAACAGATCCACGTCTAGACGGTCGATACTTTTTACTCTCTAGAGCCTTCTGCAGACGTTCCATCTTCAGTTCTACCGGTGTCTCCGGTCTGTTCCGGTCCCTAGAGCTTGATCTGGAACGCGTTTTGGAAGGAGTCCTCCTCGATCGTCGCGGACCCTCTTCAACCGACTTCTCTCGAACGAATCTCTGCTCCTCTGAGCCTGTTCTCGATGGTGGTCTCCTGTCTTGGGATGGTGCTCGAACTCTGGTTTTCGACGAGGACCTGGAGGAGACTCCTCTTTCGACCGACACGTTCCTCGACCTTGATGCTGGAGACTGGTTCCTCGATGATGGTCGACTCGTTCGTTTTTCCTTTACTGGCTTCGTGTCTCGCGCCGGAGTCGTTCCTCGAGAACCAGCACCTCTCTTAACTTGTTGTTTCTCTTGTTTATCTACTTCGGTTTTCTTCTTTGCTTTCGCCTGTTGAACTGGCTGAATCTCTCTGACGTCTCGTCTCTCGTTCGGTTTCGTAGAGACTGTACCTTCTAAACGATCTCTTATTTGACTACTTATTTCTTGGTCCTCTGAAACCGACGATCTTCTAGAACTAGCAATACCGTCTCCAAGTTTCCTCTCTTCTGAAGGTCTATAACTGAAACGACTAGAGTGTTCTCTAACAATTTCGGTATAGTGATTCACGACAGCCATTCGTGCTTCGATATCTTCCTCGTCTATTTCTTCTTCCGGTGTCGCTGTTCTCATCTTCGCCTGAATTCTGCGATTCTTTGCAGCTTCTCCGGCCGATAATACGCTATCCGTGTCAGATTCTGACATAACTGGTACTTTGATAGGTTCTGGAGTAACTGGTGGTCCTGTATTCGCTTCATCCTCGTTTCTGTGTACCGGATGGACATTCGGAGGTATTGTTTTTCTGATTGGTTTCTCGGGTGGAATAGGTCTGCCGAAGCTATTGACTGGAATCGGTTCTTCTTTGGGCTTCTTCAGTATCGATTTGGGAACTACGGTAGTTGGTGATACAGGAACGACTGCTCGATTGAGTGTCGCCGAAGAAACGTCCAAAATAGGTACTCTGTGAGGAGGAACTGGTGGTGGTTCTGGTTCGACGTGCGGAATAGGTCTTCCTCTTGGATGATAGGTGTCTTCTTCCTCCAATACCTGCCTGGCAAGGATTCTCGTCTTCAGAAGCTTCAAGTCTTCACTGTCGGCGCTGCTAAGCTCTTCTGATGACTCTTCGGAGGTTTCGATACTTTCTTCTTCTTCGTCTTCTGCTACATCTTCCTTGATCACTGCTTTTGAGGTCAGTTGAGTGTCTTGGTATACATCTTCGTTGCGTGGAGCCTCTTCATTGGCGATAGGTTGCCAGGGTATCGATTCTTCTGGCTGATTCTTTTCGACCAATGGCACGTTGGTGTCGTGCCACCTGCGCAGTGGCGTAGTCGGGTCTTCTGGCTTGTCCAGTTCCCACTGGTGGACTATCGGTGTCTCCGAGTCGCTGGGTATGTTGGGATCGGACCTTGCCTCGACGTCAGGCAATAAAGTTGAGCTTAGTAACTTTACAGGTGTCTTCGTCGGCTCTGCCTGACCCTCGCTGAGTCTCCTGCGATTTTTCTTCGATTGCCAGCTGATTAGATTCTGAGAAGTGATGGTAGGGTTGGATAGCCGTCGTTTGAAGGAAGATTTTTGGCTGTCGAAGGTGTCGTCTTCTGTTTCAGCGTCTAGTTTATTGTCAACCATCGATGCCAATTCTCCGGTTCTTCTCTCGACTTGGGTTTTCCTTTTAGCAACTTCTGTAGCTTCTTCGGCTGCTACTGCACGATAGAAACGTTCCATGGCTCGTTCGTGGAGTAGTTCTGTAGAACTGACCGCCTCTCTGAGGGTTTCTACCACTTGATGTTCTACGCTGAATAATTCAGGTAGAGAAAAGGACATAGGCGGTGGAATTAGGTCCTCCATATCTTCACCTTCTGCATGTCTACTTTCTGTGGATTTTAAAGTTTAATGACTATATTTTATTTCAAAACCTTTGATATATATAAAAACATATGAGCTATGGAGGTAGAGAAGATTCATGCGATTTTTGACAGCCTTACCTAGACCCTTTTGTCTATCATCAGCATCTCCTAGTTTCCTGTCTTCATCCTCGGGGTATAAAACTAACATAAACTCCGAACTTCCATGCAGAGCGGTGTCGTCGTCTTCTCTTGGTGTGTTTGGCGATCCTGGCTTATTATCCAACGAGTGACTTTTAACTAATTGCGGTTCAGATTCGTCGATGATCGCCTGTTGCTTGTTCAGGTTCAAGCTTATCGAAGGACGAAGACGAGAATAATTCGGGGAAGTTTCTTCTTCGAACTGTTCTTGGATCTTCGGCATCGACAACGGTGACATGCTGCGTTCTCTGGTCATGGAAACCGATCGCGATCGTGATTCCCTGAACGCTGAACGTTTATTGGATTCTTCTACCACTGGTGGCGTTATCGTCACAGTGGTGAATGATACTGGCATTGCTGGAGCCTCTTTATTTTGATTTAAGTTCTGTTTCAAGTATAAAAGAAACTTTATTCCTTTATTTTACTTTAAATATTTTAATATTTATTAATGTTTGATGATTCTACTCACCTCGCTGCTTGGTACATTTACGTTGACACTCGAACGATCTACGTGATTCCCAACCTGACTCTCAAACTTTGAAGTGGAATGATCCTTCGATCTAGCCGGTGGAATAGGTGGCTCAGACTTGTCCATTGTGTCCAAAGCAAATGTTACCCTGCTGTCGGCTCTGGACGGTCTTCCTCCTAGTCTTTGTGCTGACACCGATCGACTAGCTGGTCCAAAAGGTACATCATCGTCTTCATTTCGGTTTCGAGCTTCTTCTCTTGTCAGACTCCTGGTTCTTTGACTAGGTACTGCGAAACTCACTTCTCGTTTCTCTCGTGATCTAATTTCTCTGTGACTCTGTGACTTTCCGCTCAACGAGGGTGTCATTATGCTAAATATTCCAGAGAATCATAATATTTGTATTTTAGAATCGTGTAGCCATTCTATTTTCGTCAAAGTTGCTTGTTTCTTGTTAAAATTTGCATGTTATATTTGTAATGAATTTTACGTTTGTTCTTAATTGTTTAATTATTAGATGAATATACCCTCTTTTTAAATCTGGAATGAAGATTACGTCGCTCTCCTCGCTAGGCTCGCTCATGCCATAAGGATTTTCTGCTTTCACTCGAAATTTATACTCGGATCCTTCGATTAACTCGGACAACGTTGCTTTGGTCTGTCTGCTTGTGATTGCTTTCAGCCATACGTCCCAGCCAACCTGCGAAACAATTTCGAGAATGAAGGAATTATCAATGAAACAAAAGTACGATACAAAGTAGACAATTCCAATGTAATGTTCATCACTAACTCTATAATACTCCACGACGTATGTGCCAATTTTGCAACCACCATCGTCTTCTGGTTCGTCCCATGACAGTGTCACTGATCTGCCTAACGTCATCGTAACTGTTGCTTTTCCAGGTGCAGCAGGTCGATCTGTAAATAACAAACGAATAAATAAACAGATAAAATTTAGCATAAAATAAAAATAAAGACAGGTGTGCAATATATTTATATTTATGTATGATAATAACCTGTCACAGTGACCAGAAACGACGACGTGTCTTCCCCAAGTTTATTTATCGCCTTAACAGTATATTCTCCTCTGTCGATTCGTTTGGCATCAGGGATTTTTAGAATGGATTCACCGTCCATCGTCTCGAACACATGCCTCTCGTCATTCGAAACCACTTCACCGTCATGGTACCAAATTACCGAAGGCGGAGGTCTTCCAGCTAATGACACCTTCAATCTGATCGTTTCGTCTTGTTCGAAAAGGAGGCCATCTTCGTATAGACGTGGCAGTCGTATCTTTGGTGGAGCTGGTTTTACAAAACGTCATCAAAAATATAATTTCATTTCGAACTTTACTCTAAATATTAATGAAATTTTTAACAAACGAAACAAAAGTTTAATTTATTAATCTGTAAACCTTCCAAGATCAGTCTCGCTTTGCTACTAGCATGGCCAGCTCTGTTGGTGGCAGTGCACTTTATTTCACCCTCATCGTTGAGTGCCGTTTGATGAATCAAAAGGACACTTTTGCCACTATCAGTAATGATTCTTGTTCGCCTACTACTGAAGATCTCGAAACCATCCTTGAACCATCCGATTTTTGGCAACGGTGACCCGGTAAATCGTACCACAAATTCAGCCTAAGTATGAAAACGAACAAAATTTCTTTTTAAATTAATTCCTTTCATATAAAATTTATATTATTATACCAATCGACTATAGAGAAGAAGAAGTAGATGATAAATATCCTAGACTTCTCTTGAACGGGAGACAGAGTGTGATTGAATTAGGATTGATTTCATTAATTGAATTACCTGTTCATTTTCGAGCACAGTTGTATCCTTGACCTCAAGGTCAAAATAGGGCGCGGATGCAGCGGATCTCTGCAAGGTAACTGTCAGAGGGTCCGAGATGTCGCTGGGTCGAGACAAACCAACCGCGTTCTGAGCCCTGACCCTGAATTGGTAGCGCCATCCTGGTTCGAGGCCGCTCAAGGTCAGTTCCGGAAAGGTGCAAAGCCCTGTCGTGCTGCGTACCCAATGCTGAGAGCCGAGTCTTCGATGTTCCACCAGGTAGCCGACGATGGCCGAGCCACCGTTACTCGGTGACCTCTCCCAACGAATGGCCACCACATCCGGTTGTGATTCGTCCGCTCCTGGTATTAAAATTGGCTTTCCTGGTGGTGCCGGAAGTCCTGAAATGGCGAATTTTAATGTTGCATTTGTTTCCTTTATTTTTTGTAATTTATTACGAATTGAATTTCCTCCTCTTCGCTTTATTTATTTGTAGTTTAATTTTGTATTTTTTATAATTTATTCGCAGTTAAGTCTTTTATTTTTCATAATTTATTTGAAGAATACATTTAGTACAAACTACGTTTAGTAACATAGTTCGACGATATTTTATATATATATATATTAAAATGACTTTTATTTTTAAACAGTCTGCCCGATTATTTTGGCACAATTGGTGTGTTGTTAGGGACATTTAATGCCCGTCTTAATTGCTAGAATGAATTTAATATTCTAATTTAAATTTCCTTTATCATAAAGTCTCAGGATTTATGAAGAATTTAAACAAATGTGAATGTTGCTTGACGAATGTTTAAAAATATCGTTTAAATTCGTTTCTGTATCAGCTCTACGGTTTTCAAGTGGACGAAGAATCAAGTAGAAGAGCAATAGTATAAAACGCAATACGATGTTGTTTTAGCACGTCTGTATATTGAATTCGCCATTTTGAGCATTAGATTAGGCTTCTAGTAACGTTTTGCGTTACTCTGGTTTCACTTCTGATCATCGTTAAGCGCATAAGACAATAAGTGCTACGTTGTATTTTAGAGAGACGGTGTCATTAGCTCGGCTGATGGTATATAAAAGGGATCTCTGGTTAATAAGTTCACAGAAAGCTCGCACGTGCCAGAACGATGCTCACATATGCGTAGAACATACGTTCTCTAACACAGGTCCGCAGGTGGCGCTCCCAAAATAAAATTTGAAACTGTTTGGCAATCCTAGGGCCTCTGCCTTGCTGTCCTCAGGGTAGGAACAACTATGCGATACTCTGAGTCGATATCAGACACTGGCGCGTCTTCGTTGCTCTTTTACAACATGCCTGTCGTTTTTGGATCAATTATATGTCCATCGAAACTTGTGCCAATTAATTACCAATCGAACATATATTCAAAGAAAAAGACATTATTTGAAAGGGTAAATTATACATTGCGCATATTTTTAGTAATAAATAGGCGATTATATCCTCTATCTTAAAAACGAAATTGACTTCTTCGGAATTTCTTAATTTTTTTGAAGATCAAGAAGGTCTTAATTGATAACAAAATTTCATAGATCTCTACCGATAGATCGAAATACACGATACAGAAGTAGGCAAGAATATTTTTCATCAGATATATCGTATTTTCACTTCGTACAACCATCCTGTAACCGACCCACCATTGGCTATTAAAATAAACGTGCCCAACGCGTACGAGTTAATTTTGGATTACCGGTTGATTTGATAGTAAATAAATACACGATCCTCGGATAAACCTTCATAGGAGCTTCCACTGACAGAGATTCGATTTCTCATTGACTATCATGGAAAACTCCGAACGATATTATTCCAGTGCCATTCGCGAATTGAATTTCGATCAACATGTCTAACCTTCCCAACGACATGATCTAGAAAATCGACGATCCCACTGACCCAATGAACTTGCTAATTACCCTAATTCCACGTCCATTACCGATCACTCGAACGATGCGCGGGCTTGACAGATCTGTCGGCAGAAGCAGCCTAATTTTAGCTATCATCCCACTATCGAAGCAAGCCAATCGTGGGACAGACCAAAGCACGCGCAGCATCGTCACTCTCGCGACACCGTTACCGGAAACTTCGTGTCACCGGACGCACCCCACAATCACGTTCAAAACCTCTATAAACCCTCCTTCACTGTACTCAAAAGGAAAAAAGGAAGAAAACCTGTCACACAGCGAAGCGTTCGAAGCCAAACGTCGAGGAATTAAAAACGAACGACGTTTGCCAGAACTCCTGACGCGAGACTTCGAACTTCATAGTACATCTGGTCCCGATCAAGATGGCGATCGGTTGTCTTATGCTCGATGACGCGTCGATCCCTCGTCATCCCTCGAGAACGTCCCTCGGACGGATAGAGACAGCATCAGACAACACGGAAGAAGCAACGCTAACGCATTTAGAAGCAGTGTCTACCTGATCCCTCCCAACGTGGTCTCCTGGTGGCAGCGACAGGCAGGCTCTTGGAGTAGTGGCTCTTCGTGGTGGCGTTACCCATGATCGAACCTCCTCTTCCTCTTCCACGTCGAGCCTGGCCCGACGATCACTCCGTTCCTGGCCAGCTTTTCCACGGTTCCTGGACCACCGAGCGTCGAAAGATCCTCATCAATCGCAGCGGGTCCGCGGCGATCGGTCGAGGAAAGAGGGGAAAGCCTCGCGGTGTCTCCCGAACTGTCTTCGACGATGGCTGAACCGAAGTCGAAGGAGAAAGAGAGAGCAGAGAAAGAGAGAGAAAGAGCGTGTTCGGCTCGATATAGCGCGAGGCTCGGTGCAGCACTGCCGGACCTCTTCGTGGCCGACGACCGTGGCGACGCCAGCCTCTTCGGGCTTCCTCTTCAGACTATCTTCGTCCCTCCACCTACTGACACTTTCTTTCTCTTGCGCACTGCCGCGCTTCCGAATCCCTCGGAATCCGACGACACGTTCAACGCGTTTCTTCATCGCTGATTTTCTACCCGCGATCCTTCAAATCTCGAGTTTCGATCGTTGCCTCATTACGTAACCTCTTTGCCCGGCGGACAGACACCGGACGTTGCTGACACCTCCTGGGCACGCGGGAGTTAAGAGGAACCGATCCTGATGATTAGTTCGATAGGAGAAATTCAAGCGTCGAATGGTTTCGATGCCAATCTCGTAATGATATTTAGAAATGCGTTTCGTATTTTGAAGTTTGAGGAAATATAATTTTATTAATTTACGTACGATCTTTCGAACTTCATTTTGAACCATTTTGAACCATTTTATTCTCGGTGAATATCCGTGGCGTGAAACGTGCATTACAGATTTGACTTTCTACAAAGATACACAGAATCACGAGTTTTTAATTATCTACGATTTGACAAGATTATCGGATAGCTGTAACATTTATACATCGACGCTGCGTTTTTGAAATTTCATTTTTGTCAATTAAGAAAATATAGAATATAAGTGGTAGAAATTCGATGCATTTTTTTGGAGGATTATTTGCGTTGCAGCCGAATTTTTTCCGAGTACCAACGATCGAGCCAGCGTTCGCGAACTTGAATTTCCGGTGACGTAAAGAGGTGAACGCGTTCGTGACGTCACTGTCCGATATTCTTGAGCTGCTGAGCCCCCTCCGGACGAGTCGATCTTTGCCTTTGTTTCTCGTTTTCTCCGATACTCCCACTGGAATGTATCATATGCTTATATTTACGAAGGCACACCTTGCTTTTCACGCTGTTTGGTCAACGCCGGTCACCGACCTTGGCGCTCGCGCGTGCCACCGAGGAAATAAAATGCTTTTGCATTATGCATTAATTGCTGAACAGCTTCGAATCACAGATCAAATTGCTAGCAGCATAGACGACCAGAGTCTCCGGTTCTCTTCCGCTTCTACTTTTAGTTAAGTCTCTAAAAATCCGACACTACGAGTTATGCCTGTTCTTCTCGAATTTTTTCGATTACTTCACGATATAAAATGAAATTGCTATTCCTCGAAAATTCATCTTAAATCGTATTCCTGCAATATAACGTCGTGAAATGTTAATATAGAGATTGATTTATGGTCGTTTTGTGTTAATGATTAATTTTTGTTAGAGAGTTCCTAGATGTTTGATGGAGAGAAGCAAGATCAAGGTTTACGTGTGCACGAGGTACTGGGATCTCGATACCTTACGACACACTTGGGTATCGAGATACACGAATGACGAAAGAATTTGAGGTTTCGTAGTGGACATGGGAATACGTTTCGATCGTCCTTCGTGGTCATCTTGCATGCCTCAAGGTGGAATCATGCGGTATCTTGTACAGGTTAACGAAGATGGTATAAAAAGATCTAGATTTTTTTCAGTGGCCGTTACAAAATTCATATATTATTTAAAGATTTATGTTTCCGTATACCTAATTTGCGAATTAATAAAATTCGGGATATCGGATTATATGTTACTTTTTTAATGGTAGCTAATCATATTTTCTCTTCTCCCTTTTTTCCGTTTTTAAATAAATAATACTTTGCTTGGAATAATCATTGTTGCGGATAGAAAGGTTCATACGTGTAATTAATAGATCAGCGTAATTGTAAAAGTAGGTGGGAAATGGTAAATCGTTGATCGCCTTTCTTCTTTGTCAAGTTTCACCGAGTGCACAATGAGTCGAAGACATTCGCGATTGTCTCTCGAAGTCGAAATATTTTACAAGAGGCTCTAGGCGAAGAGGTCAATTGCACCCATAAATCAAGCCGCAGAGAAATATTCCTCGTCACGGCTGTGAGATACATATCGTCACTTGGTCGCGGATAATTTCATCGCTTGCGAACTGTTCTTTTTTCCAGATAAATGGTACAGATCTTTTGTCAAGTTTTGCTCTTTCTAGTTTTCTAGAAAAGAAGACAGGAGATATTTTTAGAAAATGTTAGTTTTCGTTTTAATCTGTAAGAAAGGCTGGTAATAATTTAAAATTTACTGTACTATAAGGGTTTCAAGGACTCTTCCAAAAACAAACGAATTTCACTTAAAGACATCGATCATTCTCAACAGCGACTATGTTCATGACAAAGGACGACGCTCAAAAACCAAGGATATATGTCTGTTTGACAATGCAACGATAGAATTACTCTCGAGAGTAACAAATTTACCACTCCACAATGTAGAGAAGAAGAATGTCTCTCTTTTCATACTAAATACATTGTAACAAATTTCTGCTCGCGCATTCTGTTCGAGCGTGACCTTCGAGATAATTATACGCTTCAAAATTCTTGAAAGGGCAACATATGTATATAAAATTCAAATACAACGCATACTTGAAAGTACGTTCTAAAATAAGAAAAAGAGTGACGACTAAAAATGGCACCCGATGAAAATTAAGAAGGACTACGTGTCCACTGAAAATTATAGCAACCTCGAAAAATTACTTTCACATCGTCCTTCAGCAGTGGAAAATTTTCCGAACATCCTCGAGGATACTAGGAACTTTATCGAAGTTCTCAGCAAAGTGAAAAGAACAACCCTCCTATCCGCCAGAAACTATATCTATTTCACAAATCATCTCTCATGTCATCTTCAACCAAACAGAATCATCATAAGGATCACTTAGAAAATGGTAATTCATCGAATAAAAAGAAAGAAATAGAAAACTGAGACAAACGTATAGAGAATCAAGCGAAACACGACTCTCCATGAGAGCCATCAGAGAAATTCGCGAAGAGAAGCTAATTTAAAACCCGCTCTCGTGCCCGTACGCGCAACTGGCGAGGCATTAGCCATTTTTTCTCCTCTGTGCAGCATTTTCGCGGCACGTTCTCGCGGGAATACAAAAGAGGACGCGGTGTCGGAGAAAGAGGTCGTGAAGGCGGGAAAAGGAGACGGAAGAGCACGAGGAAGAGAAAGGAGAAGGGGAAGACGGTTAATCGGTGCCAGAGTACCGTTGTACCTGAATGGAGCAGCGAGATGGCTTTCGGTTTCCCTGCAGCCTCCGTCGCAGCTGCAGCTCCGCTCTCCGCGTCTCTCTTAGCGGCCATCCGCCACCAGGTATACGTGCACACGTGACTACACGTGTGTGCACGTGAAAGCGCGCGACAGTTTTTCATTTCACAGCCACCGAGCCGACCGCGTTACGCTCCGCGCATTTCCGCCTCCGGTTCAGCCGCGGGACAACCGTTTCGACCACGTGCACCTGCAGCTGGAACACGAGGGCTCGTGCAACAGCTGCTAACGCCTTTCTTCGCCAGTGCTTCCCGCTAACCGTCCGATAGACAAGATCGTGAGTCTATCCTGCGACCCTGCCACCTTTCGAGACGATGTTCCGACGACGTTCGAGGATGGTGCCATTTTGTGACCGGCAGACCTGGCCAATTTCTTGGATTTCGATACGTTGAGTGTTGGATTTGTTGCCCAGCAAGTATCGGGAATACCTGCGTTATGACAGGAGGATGCGAAGGTACCAGTGGATGACATGGAAAGGAAGAATTCGTGATCCTTGGATCTTTCGCGTGGACGATTCGACTAGGGAAGCGAGATTTTCAGTCAAAGTATTGCATTGAATGTTTCGTGACAATTGTGGACCCGTGTTCGTACGAAGGACTCGGACTTAAGTTGTAGTAGATACCCGCGATTGTGATCGTAGTTTCGTAAGGTGGTTCGTGGCCGGTTTCGAAATCGCTAAGAGTTAAACCTTCGTTGTTTCACTCCGATAAGCGGCAGTTTAATGAATCTATTCGCGCGAGTGAACTTGGAGTTGGGGCAATTTTACGACGAATGTTCCACCGTGTTCCCGGTATAGATCATTTATCCGATAAGGCAAGTTTTAATTGAAGATTCCTCGGACGACTGTTCGAACAAGGGAGTAGAGCACAGGAGGATTTGTTGGTCAAGGTTTTGGAGGGACTGCGCGACGCAAGACGACGTCTGGAACGGTCAACTTTCACCGTGGTCTATGCTTCTTTCAGCATGCAAATTACTCGAGGCGCCCTGCTCGAAACGCGCTATTAATCCCGCGTGGAAGCAAAACTTCCCGACACGCGAGGTGAACCACGCTCGTGTTTCTATCACGGTGAACGTGCCGCGGTATGCAAACCACCACGGATCAGTTTTTACACAGTCGACGAACCTGATCGCGCGTAACACAATTCCGCCGATCATTCGACAAGAACGTTCGTGACTCGACGCTCCACTTTCCATAAATTACGAGAATCCTCGTAGTTAGTTCCTATGCCCTGGAAATTGCGTGTCTGACGTCCGAATCGTGTACCAAGGATCCCCGGGTGGATGGAAATTAATTTTAGCGTAAAGTCCGTGGGATGAAGTAGTATTCAACGTTCAGCCATGCCCACGAGGAACCTGGAGGCAGTGGATATCTTGGAAGCCCTCGAATCGAAGCTCGCGTACATTCCAGGGGGTCGTGATCGCGAAGGAAGACCTTTGACAGTGGTTAATGTTCCGTCCGAACTTCAGCCGACCACCAAGCCCAGGCTGGAAGCTCTGATAGCTTATTTCTTGTCGATTTTTAGGTAATCGTAGTAGTTTGCTGGAGATATAGCGATTGCGTTGATGGTGTTTAGTTGGGTAGAGGTGAGTTACGGAATAACGTGTGTTTCATGGTTAGCGAGGAGACAAAGAAGAATGGGTTGGTCTTGATAGTGGATGCGAGAAAAGGTGCATGGCGTGTGGCTAGGTCTTGCATTAGGCTGTCTACGGTACTTCTGGGTGCCTCTGCAGCTTCTGTCATCGTCGTGCGGCCAGATGGGTTTTGGGACAAGAGGGTGGACAGTTGTACAAAATCTCATAAAGAGGGAGAGGTTGGTAATTTATATACGATCAGAGAAACTTTAAATACATTCGATTCGACTTATCGAATGTGTAAAATTAAGAATTTCGAGTAGTAATCAGGATGTGAGGAAGTATCTGTTTTTATACCACTTTTCATAGTTCCTATTCAAATCCCTGTGACAAATGGGGAATTAATCCAATAGACAGCAATCCACTTGGGCAATGACCAAGCCGATGAATTTTATCAATAGATTGAAGAACATTAAATTAATTCAAACCAACTGTAAATTTTTAGAATATTTCTGATATTTGAATGCGTAAAATTGGCAATTTACAAGAATATATCTTTCAAATCTCTACAGTGAATAAGAAAACTGATGAACTTTTTCATACTAGTGACTGTAAGTCATCAAAGCTGCTGAACACGTATAAACTGGAAATTACCCTGACTAAGCAACACAGCTTACGGTACAACTTCGGAAATTTCCAGAAAAGCCATTAATCGTAATATTAACAGACTCCAGCGATAGTCGGGCCGATCACATGAAAATAAATTACGCTCGTTGTCGACTGCGCAGTGAGCTTTTCAACTCACCCTCACGGTGCAGCAGACTCAGAAAGTACAGCGAAATGGAACATGTATCTAATTTTACTCAAAGGTTATATAATTTAGAATTTTTCTGCGATCAGTCCAGACCAGACAAACTAGTTTTGCTCGAACTGTTGCCTGCCATTTAATCACTCCGCGAGAAGAGGCTCAGTCACTCGAAGCACATGTTCCGCTCGGTTATCGCGTGAAATATCCACGCGTGCCTGTCAAAATCGTTGCCTTGTGAAAAACCGCGAGAACGACGAGTTAATTGCAGGCCTCTAAAGGCTCCGTGACGTGAATTAATTCGCTGCCCCGTTGTTGTTTCAGCCGACGTACCTCACCCTGACGAGGCTGCAGCTTCACGTTGACTTTGCTCAGCTGCCGTACGAGCTGGGTGGCAACAAACCGTACGATCACGCGGATTGGATCCAGAAACGCGTGGTAATTTTCTCTGCTCTACGATTTACGCTCTAATCAAAGGTTTTAGTCGTATTAAACCGGGAAAAATAACAAGAAGACTTGACTTTCTACGCGAGATCTAGTGCCTCTTGACGGACTATTTGTTCCCTTTGCGTTTTATGTGGACATGTCAAGTGCTACTGCACGTTGTAAATAGGATAACGTCATAGCAGCACGGGTAATATCAGTAGTAATAATATCGAGGCAGTAACGCGGGACATGATATTTATTAAGCAGTCGAATTTTATTAAACGGAGAATTATGTTATAAATCACGACGTTCTGCATGGGTGGATGCGAAAACGTTTAGAGAGTTCGTCATGGCTTCGGGTTTTCTATCATCGCGTATTTTATGTCAAATTTGTTGCGATCGCTTCGTTTAGAGAGCCTAGACTGTCACATTCTTTGCATTGCTATCTGCGTACAGAGATCATATGTAAATATTTATTTATGTAAAATAGGTCATACGGAAATAAAGTATCATTCGTTTTACTTCAGACATAAGCACCGCTGTTATTAAGATAGAATTGTGCCTCGACAGTTCCTTAAAGAGATAGTATACCTGCAACTTTCACCAATTTTAATTCTTCTTTTATTTGTGTGTTTCTTTCCTACATCGATTGTACTAATTTCGCAGAAAGTAGAAGATTATACGAAAGATGCATCCGGTCTCATTACGAAGATGACCGACCTGCACCAAAGACTGATCAGCTTGGATGGATTTCGAATGTCAGAATCGGATGACGACTTGGAATCCTACTGGGGGATGAGCAGCGAGCTGATATCTCATGCGCGACATATTCTTCAGTCAGGTGAATGCGAGTCTATAGATAATTTATAACAATTAATTATGCGACCAAAAATAGAACAAATCTAGACCATTCTCCGATATTTTCTAGTTTCGATCACACTTTTATTTCTTCGAAAAACACCTTACTTCGAATTATCATACAGGCAATACTGTAAAACAGGAATAAAGCCATTAAAATGAATTTTCTTTACCTTTGATTAATTCTAGAAAAATCAATATCGACTTTCATCCAAACAGAAAAGTAATTATACCATCTATCCATCTTACATATTTTTACGTATACTCAATTTACACGGTTCGAAGTAGTAGTTGTTAAAGACAATCCAAGTTATACCAGGATCGAGATCGATGACTGTAAAATCAGAATGATAGAGGATATAAAATAAACGACCCTTAAGAGGAAAATCTGTCGCCGTTATTATAGAATCTACTATCGTTAAATTATCCTTCCGATGATCACGAGTTCCGTTAAATCGCAAACCCGCATAACCATTGTTCCGCCATAAACCAAGAAATCTCGTGTTTTTCGTCGAGTATCTGTCACAGGCGGCTCGTTTTCTCGTGTCATCGTTATCGATCGCTCGAATGTCTATTTCCTGGTCCGTGGTACAATCAAGCGACCGGTTATACACGAGGATCGACACTCGGATATGGGCAGATTGTCCGGAAAAATTGAAAAACCGGCTTAACCGGATGTCGAGCAGGGACGGTTTTTTTAGGCAGCGAGCCGATAGTCGCGTGCTCGCGGGAACGCGCGAGGGTGTAAAAACGCTGACAATGCGACGCTCCTGTCTTTTATTTCTTGTTATATTTTATTATACTTTTTATTTTACTTAATTTTACTTTTTCCCGCCGTCTTCGCCTTTTTCGCGCAAGATATACCGCTATGGCGTAGAACTTTTCTATGGGATACGCGTTTTCGAAGCTCCGGGAAGATTCTGTGTAATGGCGTTTCATGTTGGAACGTGGAAAAATTGATTTACTGTTAGTTATATTACATTGTTGCATTACGCTGTTCTTGCGCTCATTCCGTTAGTCGTATAAAATCTCACTCGCGTTTTTAGTCATCATCCGAAATGAATGGATGGTTGAATAGGCTTTGATTGGATTAATAGATGTATTGGAACGAGGTTTTATTAATTTTTACTTCAATTTTTTAGTTCTTTTCATATGTAGAGATTATGGGAGTCTTGATGGGAGTCTTGAAGAATATGTTTTGGTTTGGTAGGGGTTGAAATGATGCAGATATAACGATTTGGTATACTGTTTTCAAATTATAGCTATTTTTATATTAAAATGACTTACAATAACAGAAATAATATAATTTCAATGTAAATTAAGATGTAATTTTTACTCTTGGTTAATGAAAAAATACTGTATTCCTTCATAAAATGTGCACAAGTTAAGAGGAAGGCATACGTACTTTATATTTCGTTCATTTTAATTCTATATCATTTGATTAATGATTTTAGGTAGAAATTTAGTCGGCACCATGAGCAGAGAGTCTTCGAAAGACACTATGGACACAGCAAAAAGAATTCACGAGCTGATCGACTCTATCGAATTAAAACAGGTATCCGTTTTAGTATCTGTTCTCCAAAACAAGAAGAGAAAGAAACAAAGAATGTTGGGAAGAAAAAGCAACAGCATTCTGCTGTATTTTTAGTTGGACATCGAAAACTCCTGGTCAGAAATGGAAAGAAACTTGGACACGGCTAGGGTAATCGGTGATCTCGAGAAGGGTGTGTCGCGTGTTACAGACTGGATCCTTGGACCCGCTGACGCCATGTTAAACTCCTGTTGCCAGGTTGGCTTCGACGTCTCCTCTTCGGAAGACCTTCGTAGACGACACGAAGAACTCGAATTAGAGTGCAGGGTATGTCAGACGATTCGGAAAATATAAAAGAAAATATTAACTACCGTGTGAAATATACAAAGTTGTCAACGATAAAATATTTTATTATTTTGTTATAAATGGGAGGATATTATACGAAATATTTATGAGTCGATTTTTAGGAAACATATGGACGATACGCGGAATTGCTGCACAAGATCGACAGTTTACCAAGCACTCGTTTATCCGAAGACTTAAAATCCCAGAGAGACTTCATGGACTTCGTGTGCAGAAGCTTCGCAAACAGACTGGAGAGGCGACGTAACGTGTTAATCACTTCTCAAAGATTTTTCAGGCTAGTTTCCGAGGTATTATCATTGGCTACGAGCAGCAGAATTCACACATGCATGTTTGGTTATCTTTCTCTCCTCTCATTTCCAGTATTTCGATAAAACGAGCGAGGTATTCGATAAATTAGTAATGGGCAATAGAACTCACGATTTTTCTCTCGCTGGAGCTAATCTCTTAAAACTGGAACATAGTCAAGCACTTTTGGGTAAATAATTTCTGCGATAGTGATACATCAACTGAAGTGTTTGTAATTGATGTTTATTGTAGAAACTTTGGAATGCGAATTGGTAAAGGAAGGTGAAAAATTGTCTGATATCTTGTCGATGCCTGTGAAAGACGCTCTTGGTCGAGACGTGCATGTTGACTATGGGGAAGACATAGTAAACGTCAGAGACATTTTAGATGCGACGAATGCCAGGAAAAATATCTTCAACGATAGTGTTGAATTGCAGAAATTATCGTTAAAACAGATCGCGTTAACATACACTTACGAAAGTGACGCTGAACAGGTGACTATGATGATTTTAGCTCATTGTTCTAATAAAATATTTCTAATTCATAATATCTGTCGCTTATACAAGTAAATTTGTAGGCTGTAAAATGGTTGAACGATTTGTACGACGTTTTGCTAAAAAATCACATGGAGATTGGTTGCAACGCGATCGAGATACAGTCGCAAAAGGAAGAACATCAATCATTTCAAGAAACTGCAAAGGTGTGGTACAAAATATTCAAGAAATTATTTTAATTGCATAGAAAGTCTAACTAATTGGCGATCACGAAAGAAAGTTAAATTAAGAGATTAGAATAGTTCAAGCATAGAATGAAGTGGCGTAACTATTTTCGAATATATTAGTCTCACGTTTAAATTCTCAGGGCACATACGACTATGGTTGTCAATTAGTGAACGGCGCTCGAGTACTGAGGCTATCCTGCAGGCTACCTCTGGAAAGTAACGCGATTCTGTTCTCAAGGCTGAGACAGGCCTGGAAACAACTTCGATCCGTTGGCCAAGAACAATTAACCAGACTGAGAGTGTGCGCTGTTTTCCATAGAAGTGTCGAAGATGTACGCACGGTGACCGTCATTTGGCAATTTAATAATACCTCGTTATTCTCGGATTTCTAATTTTTTAATTCCCGAATTTTCAAAGGTTCAAAGCTTCAGAGTTTCAAAGTTTTAAATTTTTAGACTTAAATTTCAAATTTAAAATGATCTTTCCACACAGTTTCACCGGAATTAATAAAACAGAAATTTCTGAACCATCTACTATAATTTTTCCGATATTTCTTAAAGCATTGTTTGAAGCTGCACGACCTAATCGAGACGGTGGCGTCGCTGCGTCGATCTCTGAGACCAGAGGATCTGGCAGCCGAGGCTCGAGCCAAGGCCGAGATAAGGGACATCCTGGGCAATCGGGAGAAGCTCCTTCTCGAAGTCGGTCGAATGGTGAGGCTGGGTCGTCTCTTGAGGACACGTTTGAAGGAACCTCTCTGTCATCAACGGCAAGTACGACTGCGATCTTCCTCTCGAAAGAGAACCTCGTTATCGGCTCAATAATAACCCCGAGAACTGTTCAACGTCGACTCGCAATCGGTCTCTGCATAAACAATAATCGGTCACTGCATAACTATCAACAATCATCTTAATCGATCTGTCAAAATCACTTTTTACTCTACCGTTGCTGCATTTTTGGCAAGCTTCCTCGTTCGAATTTCCAAGCTTTCACGATCGTCCAAGCTCGTTTTCTTGGATTCTTCCTCGCCATTATATCTGGTGCAATCGAGTTCGGGCAATAAAACGTGCGCAAGTCGGTCGTCCACCGCAAGAGCAGGATAAGTCGAGTCCGGTGCTGCTTCAGAGAAAGATCGACGCGGCCGAAGAAATACAAGAGACGAGGAGGGCACGGTAACGTCGACGGTACCTCCGTTTTTAACGGAGGCGGTGTGTCAGTCCATGGCTGCACGTCGACCAGATACCTACACCTTGATATCACTGCATGTAAGTCCGACAGTTTCGAAATGCGATAAAGCGCGCCCTGCTCTCGTTCGATCCGTATTCCCAGAACCACGCACTGTTTTGATCCAAATGCTTCCAATTCGATTATGAAACTGGCCGTTTCTCTATAAAACCATTAACTCGAACGACTTCGCCTCTGACGTGGAAATTGCGTCTCCTTGTCAACATCGATAGTCGACATAGTGGAAAGTTGAATTTCCCAGTATTTAAATGCCATTCGAGATCACGAGCTATTGTACGAGGAGATTGGTCCTACGATTCTTTTTCTTCTTCGTTTTTCTTCTTTTTCTTTTTTTCAATACGAATGCAATTTTCTTCAGTTGATCGACGAGATAGTGTGCAGTTGTTCGAGCTTCACCCACGTGTTAGTGCGATAAATATGGGTCACTTGCGTCTAGCGTTGACGTGTGCGCCACCGTTTGCTCGTAGAGACGTCCTATTTTCACCCACACGAGGACGGTCAGGGCCGCCAAGAAACGGATACGCGCGAATTCTCTTCTAATACTCGACTTCACCACTTGTAAACGAGAATTTCTTTGAGATCCGCAAAAATGGCGATGGAGATTTCGAGCCTGGAAGATGCAGAGGCTTGGCATGGGGCCAGAACCAGTGAATTTCGTATTTAAATCGGCTCGTTAGTTTCTCTTTCTATTTCTCCTCGGGTCTTGCTATTTGTTTGAAATTCTTATCGTCATTGTTCGGCATTGTTCTCCGATGTTTCTCGGTCTAGGAAACACGTGTGCACGGGCTTTCGTTGTGGTTAGCAGACGCTGCCACGAAAACCCGTTGGCTACGGTCCACGAACTTCAAAATCTGATCAACGACGGGTTAACTTCGATCAGACCGACTTAGAGATTTCCGTTCGTTATTTTAGGATCATGAAATTTCGTTTCATTCGAGATTTTTACGTAAGACACCTAGTACTGATTGTTTCGCGGAAATTTGTTCTGCGAAGTTTCTAGTTCCTGTCGAGCTTAGGTTGATAATTCTATGACATAACTTTGGTTCTTTATGACAATCCGATTATGATCTTCAATTCGCGATATTTTATTTCTTAGTCAATTTGTAATTTTTGCGAGGGGAAATTTTTAGTCAAATTATTTCGCTCCATTTAATTGTTTCTCTGATTTAAGTACCCGAAAGTTAAATTATTTATTTACTTGGTTAATTTATCAGATATCGTATTGTTCACAATAGGAAGAGAAATTAGAATTACTTCTGTTATGATTCTTCGATTCAAGATATTATGTTACCTAATAAAATAAATGATACGTGATTATTTCAGCGTAAACTTTTTAAGAGGAGATCGTTTAAGATTTCGTTACATGCAGCAGCGATTGAAAATGCCGCTTAAAAGTGACGCTATGCAGATTCGGCGGCTCTTGGTTCACCGAAATTAGAACTCCGCCCCACATTGAAGGCACACCATCTGGTCCGCGACGCTGCGTCGCGGCGCTGTCACTGTCGATTACGTAATTCCTTAGAAATTTGACGTTTTCTCGACGCCAATTTTCCGTATGCAATGCGGATCGATATAATACATCGAGAGGCGTCGATCGTGTAAAACACCGGGAAAAATGAAACGCGAAATCTGGTTGATGTTCTTTTTGGTAAATGTAGATGCGTTGCTCGGAAGAACCAAATTTCACTGATTTATGTTGTTGGTGTCACGAAATATTAAATATTTGTTTGTATTACGTAACGATATGAAATATGAGACGCGAGATGAGATATTCTTTAGATCAACGTTTACGGGAACGATGATAAGTTCATTTTGAAGAATAGAAAAACGATGATGGTCATTTCTTGAGTTCTAGATGATGAAATTTACTCATGATACGTACTGAGATTAGTCGAAGAACTCTTTAGAGAAAATGAAAAACAAGGTTTGAACGAGTATACCGAAAAATGGCTCGTAACAGGTGATCCTGGCACAAGTTTAGAAAAGAACGCGGTCGTAAAATGGTAGTTTAACGATGTCTCGTGTTCTAAAAATTCTTGTTTAAAAGACTCGTCTAAAAGTGTCATTTATCTTGTTGCAAAAATACGCTCGTTGCGTACAATGTGGTAAATCGTAATTAATTTTCCAACTGACAGAAGATTTTATTTCCGGTCCTTTAGCATTAGACGCTTCTAATCAGAATCGGGATCATTCTCTCCCCGACCCGACATTTATCGGACAATTTATAATGCAATTTATTTAGATACCCTATATAACTCCAAAAACACGCGTACGCACTCGTAAACGGAGTTATAAATACCTCGAGGGAACCGCGATAAATCCTCGATATTCCATCATCTTGGTTCACCATTTCCATACCTCGTGCAAACATGGCGAGGAAAAAATACAGGAAATAGAGGAAAACGAGACGCGACGACCGGAATGAGATCCATCATCCACTAAAGCGACATTTCGCACGCAACGACAAGGGTAGAGGAGTAATTGATAATCCCCACAGAGCATCCTTCACGAGAGTCGAGCGGTACCGCGGTCCAGAAAAAGTTTATTAATAGCTAGAAGTGAAGGAGAGAAATTTATTTTTCTAGAATGTCTGAAGCCGAGGATGCCTCGGGCAAAGGCAGTAACCTGACAGCGGTGGAGGCGATCTCGGCGAGGCTGGCGGAAGTAACGCGACTTGCCGAGAAGCTGGACGCGAGACTTTGCGAGGCTGGAGCCAGGACTCGACCAGTTGCAATGTCGTCGTCCGCGATGTCCTCCACTTCCTCTCTCTTCTCGTCGTCGAACGCCACCGCACCGGTTTCCGGTCAAATCCAGACGATCTGCTCTGGAATCCCTGGATCGATCGCTGTCACTGTTTCGTCCGTCGGAATTACAGCTCCCTTGATCAGTTCGTCGGTGTCCACGGTGCAACTTCAGCCTAAATGCGTGTCCACGATATTGTTTTCGTCGTCGATGGCGAATAACGAGAACGCTATGGCGTCGAGAGACACGGCGTCTGGTTTGGCGACTTCAATGCCTGTAAATGGAACGGTTTGCACGGGTGCAGTTGGCGAGAAGGTTAGTCCGACTGTGATGGAGAGTGGCAAGGTAGAGGTTACCCAGAAAGAAGATCGTGAAACGGGTGAACGAAGTAAGAAGAAGGTTGATTTGTATGGAACAGTGGTGGTTGACGAGAAGTCGAAGGAAGAAGTCGCGGAGGTGAGTGAACGTTTGTTGGTTCCAAGTACTTGTATCGATAGGTCTGCTAAGTTTAAAGTCTAAGAAAATTCTTGAATATTAGTTAGAGTAATATTTATAGTAATTTATTAACGGAGTCAACCCTTTGATGCAAAAGTAGGAAGAGAAAAGATACAACAACCAATGTACAAAAGAGAGAGAAGGGAAATATATAAAAGTGACGAAAAAAAAGAAAATTAGTTAAAAATATCAATTTTCGAATACAGATGGTTACCATTGATAATTGAAAAATGGTTTATATAGTTTAATCATGTAAATTACTTAGAAGAATACTTTCTCTCTTAGATAATTATAACCATATGAAACTGTTCTTCTGCGTTTATATTTATTAATATTTATGTGTAAAATAATATTAACATTTTTATTTCCTATTACATATTTCATTTCGTAATATTTCTACGCTCTAATTACAGGACGTTAACGAAAAGTCTTTCGATGATAGTTTAGCTGAAGATTCGAACATGGAAGGATACGTGACAGCCACCGAATGCTCGATAACGCCTACAGCTCGTTCCAGAAGCGAATCCTTCGTTACGTCTCCAGAATGCGAGGACCTTGCTGCTCCAGCAACCGTGACGTCTACTTGCGATACATGGTGAGTAACGTTAAAGCGTAAAGAAGGTGGACACGCGTTAATCCGTTCATAATTTCGCGATCCAACCGTGGTAACTATTTTTTTCCATTTCTCGGTTCGCAAAGGTGGAACATGGAGGAGCCGAAGTTCCTCACTGCCAACGCTGCAATGTCTTCCGCTGTAATTAAACAAATGGAAGTGGCTTCAAAGGAGCCGAGAATAGAGAAAAACGTCGCAGATACTGCGAAACCGGAAGTCAACGAGACAAACGCGGAGAAACAGACTGAAAAGCTCGTATCGATGGAAAAGAGAGTCGAAGTGTGTAAAAGAACCGTGAATTTATGCGAATAAAATCTCGCTGTCTCGACTCGTGTCTAACGCGTTTATCTTTTGTCGATTCAGGAGAAATCCGGGAAGATCGTAAAAGAAGTTACAGAAACGACAACTCTACGCGTGTCTCACGACACTCGTTTCGGTGTGGCGTCTTACAAGGTGATATCCAACACCGTGCAAGATCATCGTGAAAACGTTGATGTTAAGGAAATGAAGGATCTCGAACGCATCGTGTTGCCGGATGTACACGAGAAGATGAATGGATCGAGCCACGAGATAGATTCTGGCTGCAAATGTGAGATTCCATTAATTTATCAACGTTAATTACCTTCCTTCCAGTTAGCCTATCTTTACAATGAAGAAATGAATTTTCTGCGAAATTAATTTTCTACGAGAACGTTCGTTTCGTTACTCCTGTACGAATGACTATTATCTTAATTTTAGGATAATAACCGCAGTAACAGCTACCGACAGAAAAACTTGAATTACGCGCAATTAGATATACCTACCGTAAAATTTCTCACGAATAACAGTGGGCAGTGGTTTCGAATAATAATTATAAATTTTATCGTTGAACAGCCGGGTCGTACAGTCGCAGGGACGAACTGTCAACGAAGACGGACGACGCTGAACGCGTGATCAAATTCGCGAAGATCTGCGAAATAAATCAGGAGTCTCGCATAATCCCTGTTGACGCTTCGAAGGATATCGCATTGTCCTTGAAAGAGTACACGAGACATCACGAGGACAGCGGTATCGAGATGTCACCGACGAAGAAGGACGAGAACTTGGAAGGACAGGATTTCCTCGAGAGAGCGAGGAAGGTGAGTTCTATCGAGGCTTCTTCGATGAATGGCGACAGGAAGAACGGTTGTTGCTGCAACTGCAATTGCAATTGCAGTCACGAAGCTGCATGTTTCGATCGTTTTTCCATGCAACAGAATCTTATCCAACTTACCAGCGAGAATCGACGTTGTTTGCCACTGTCTAACGGAAGCTAGCTGTTTCTTCACGTGCTGTGTGTGCTTTTGTGTTTCGTATTAAAATTTTACTTTCTTTGATGTTTTTGTACATTCAACCCGGTTAAACGAATTTTTCTTAAAAAGGAACGAATGAAATAGTTTAATGTATTATTTTATGAAGATATAGTATGATGGTATATTATATATTTTTAGAGTTGTTTTGATTGTATAATTGTTTCTAGGGATTAATCATGGTTGCTTTTGATAAGTATTACGACGATCGATGACTTTTTATATTTTATAATTATTATTGTAATTTGTATAGGTGATAATTACAGTATATACGATAAATAGGACTAGTTTGTGCATTTAACACGTTTTTTTAAAGTATACAGATCAACTTACAAATTACTGATAGATGTTATTATAATTGGAAACATCTTAAAACTTGTTTAAGTAGACTATTACGACGTAAAAATTTCTTTAACTTTATATTGGACCAAAAACTGTTTTTAAATATATGTATGAGAAATATTTTTCTTTGCCTTGTTGTAAAAGAAATACTGGGTTGAATTTGATACAAACGATACGTAATTCCCATAACCGTTACCACAAAACCGAACTATGTAGCTAAACTATGAAGCAACGTTTCCAGCCTAAGGTGTGTATAATCGTTATAACAAACTTACGTTGTGTGCATGGCTTACGTTTGTAAATAAAGCGTTACTCAACAGTCAGTTGACATGTATTTTGTACCTGAAACGGAAAGAAAATCCGTGGTGTTTCGACCGGACGAAGATTATCGGCAATTAGAACGACGCGTTTCTATTATCGCCGCGACGCTTGTTCGAATGTAGCGGGTCACGAACTATCGGATAGCAGCTCGTATTTCGCGCGCGATCGGCAGTACTCGGGCCCGCTCGTGTGTACTCGATGACGCGCATGCGCGACCAAAGCACTTGGGCGGCATTCGAAACGGGACGATCGGTCAGTCTTGAGTCGACTGGCTTCTACGACCGATCGACTGGTGATGTGACACGATTGTGACATGTGTCACGCGAGTGTTGTTGCTGCTGCGGTTTACGTTGTGGCTGTCATTGCTTGAACGTGGGTCGATTTAGGTGATTGCGTGAAAATTAATAGCATAAAGTAATTAATAAAATCGCCAGATATATTCAAAAATCGTTCTCGAGTTTTGTAATAGATTTCTTATAGTCTCGATAATTTCCACGAGGATCGGATAAAATATTAAATCGATCATAACGATCTTGTTGCAACGAAAGTTTTATGTTCGACCAAAAGGAATCTCTTCCTTCGCGGATCACGTACGTAATTGAATCATCGATCGTTCGTCCTACGAATCGTAGTATAGTACTTTTTTCCACTAACAAGTGGTATCCACGGTCCATTTCGAATGGACCCAGTGATCCGCGACACGGCGGATTGCACGGGAGCAACTTTGTCCGAAACCCGTTCGATTTGTCACGTTTTTCGCCCGACCTCGATTTCTTCTCGTCCTTGGGTATGCTGTTCACGAGCTCCTCTGTTCCTTTACCTTGAAAACGCCGCTGAAAGAGTCGGATCATAATACTACCTTCCCGCTAACAGACCAACAGTTTCAAACCAATCGAGTGAAACGTTCTCGCGAAGCTAACGTCTATCGTTCTTCACCCACCGTTATCTCGTCGAAAGCTCGTCGAGAAAGTGCCATCGCCGAGTGTTATCGTTCGTCGGCGAATTAAAAAGCCGAATAATATCGAAGGAGCTCGATGCAGAGTTCACCCTTTCTCGTCTCGGATCAGCCGATTTCCAGCAGCGCAGCGGTTCGATCGTCGGCCAACGGATAACGCGTAATTAGCCTGACATAATGCCGTTGATAAATACCATAATACCACGCTGCATTGTTCCACGAGGATGGGCAGCCGCTCGCGAAGGGAACGCTTCCGGAGCGCGAAATCCGCGAACCGTGGAACGCGGCAGGCCGATTTCAGCGGACTGTACACGCGATCTCGCTTAATTTCACGTCTCCTCTTTTTCCACGGGATCGTCTCCGATCCCCGTGGGTCGCAGCGTGGCGAACCTCTCGTTCGGAGAACGCCACCAGTCAGTCCGGTTTTATCCTCCCATTCGTTCGCCCGTGTCGGTGACGTCACCTTACAAAGATACCTATGAAGTATAAACACACTGACGTCCGATCGAAAGGTGTATCCAGACAGTTTTTAATCCCGACTGGTGCGTTTTAATCGTACACGCCGGCAATTAGAGGCGGTGTCGGTGGTAAACGAGGATCGGTTCTCCGTTTCCTACGAGATTCATTCCCCGTGCTCGTTAGCCGGCCGATGTTGCTTGGTATTTTCGACTGATCCGTGGAAAGGCTTCGCGAACACGCGATTGTCGAAGTATTAGATCAGAATTGAAAGTGGATTGTAACCCAGTGCCGTTATCTCTTTCGATATCGCGATCCCGGCGGCCAGGTGTTAATTATGAGAGGCTACCGAGTCGTATGCGTCTCGCGAGCGAATAGGCTAAATTTAAATTCCGATTTACACACAGATGCTTCTGTTGTAGACAGTATACGGAATCGATAAATCTTTTTACTGGGAATTTTTGGTACATTTCAAATTATTTTAGTCCTAGGTACAAAGGACCAATAACACCCACAGAATTCTTCCTCAGATAAAGAAGGATATTAAAATGGAAACATCTACATTTTCCAAGCCCAAAAGATCCTAAGCATCACTCGCTGCTAATCGTACTAATTACCTATATCAACAAAATTTCGAAACTTTTCCAATAATTTCAATTTCGATTCGAACCATTCTTCTCTTGATCCCAAATGCAAAGGACCAACAGCAACTATAATAATCTTTTTTTCTCAAAGAAGTTAGGCCTAACAATAACAGTTTCTCAACATTTAATATTAATTTTTAATTTAATAATCCACGAAGATTAAAAGCAAGAACACATTTTGCGAGTGTTAAAAATTTCAAGCATTATTAATTGGTTATTAATTGTATGAATCATCTGTATCGACAAAAATTTCGAAACTTTTCCAAGAACCTGGACTTCCATTTATTTCAAAAGCTTCCTTGATTCGCCACCACGCTCCATTGCAACGATTTCTTGATGGGTCCCAAGGTATTTCGGTGCGAAACTCAGAGGGCCAATAGCACCGGTCGGATTTTTTCCGAGAGGAGGAAGGAATAAGAGGTTGCCGAGGTGGTGCGATTCGGTACACGCCTTGGTGTCCGCAGAATTCGCGCGTTTGGCGAATCGCCAAAAATAACGTTAATCGGTAGAGGCGGCGATGGTAACTGGAGAACGCGTGAGGCTTGCCGTTTCGCGGCGATCTCGAAGGAAGATGGAACGTAGAACGGGCATCAATTTCGACCTGGCCCGAAACGTTTCCGCGTGATAACGGCGTTCTAGACCCGTTGGAACGCGGAACGTTGATCAACGTCGAAATTAATTCGCCAGCGGATGGACGGCCGCTATTAAACCTTCGTCTGTCCGCTTTGCGAACCAGCCGTTGGAGATAGGCCAATCGAATTCCGTATTTTCACTGAAATACAGCCGGTCGAATTCCGCGCCACATACGAACTTTGATCTATCTTCTTGGTAGAAAGTGGGAACTGCGATTCGTGGGTGTAAAATGTTAGACCACGTTTGTGTAACGTAACACGCGAGAACACTTTCGTTGCAACGGGGTCTCGATTCGCTTTGAAGTTCTTATTAATAGCTTTATCCTTGCGATTTGTACTCTTCGGCACTTTAGATGTGATAAGCAGCAAATAGAAGGGAAATTATCGATCTTTAACACTGGAACTACCGACCTACAATGCATATCCAAATGTAATATGATATCGAATAAATCAGTGGGTACAATTATATTCCTATTTGAACGAGAAAGAATTTTTTATTGCAAAAAGGAGCCTGAATCAAAGTATTTGTATTTGTACGGCAGTCCTAGCGTTAATTTACGTAACTTGTCTTGAACGATTCGAGAGTGCAGCTTCTATAAGATTAGTAGAAATTACGAATACGTTGTGTAACGAAATGTGCAGAAATTGTACCTGACTTTGACGGAAAACAAATTAAATTTCATTCTGGAATTAAAATATTACATAATTTTTATTCCAAACATCTATCATTTAATAGAATTTCAAAATTCGTGTTGTCTTGACCCTGTTAAATATATCGTTGAAAAATTTCGAAAGCACTTTTAGATCCAAAGTACTGGAAAAACGAAAGAAATTGAGACGTATCTCGACACGAATCTAGTTTATCGCTTCCTTGACGTCAAGTTCAGTGCCGAGGTGTTTTTCGCGCATTGCTTTACACTTCGTACGATCGAAGCAACGAGTATAAAAGAACGACACGAACGGGTCGGGGTGATCGCTGAATCGATCCACGCCGATAGCTCGAACGATTCTGTTTTGCCGCGAAAGAGAAGAGTTACGAGAATGGTGGACGGGCACGACTCGATGGAAACGACGGAGAATAGCGAGGGACCTCGTGAGAAGGAATCACGAACGATGGTGGAGAGCAACGAGGATGCACCGCAACAAACCACCAGTCCGACGACCACCATAAGCACCATAGCCGTGCAGAGCGGTGAAACGCGTCTGGTGATCGCTCTACTTCAAGTAAGGGGCATCGTACCTTATCGTAGACGACTAATGTATTAATGTCTCGCCACGGTAGAGCATAGCCTTTTTTTCTTCTAGCCCGATTCTCACTATGATCTGGGATATTTTTGAAGTTAGATAACGGAGATTTTTTTTACGGAAAGATTAATTTTTATAGGTTCTACGATCGGTTGTTTTGGGTTGTTCTTATGAAATAGAATATAGCATGTATTT